TTTTTTTACAAAGCCAATATATATAAAAGATATGATTTCCATAATAATCATGAACTAAATTTTAGGATTTTCAAAAAACCGAAAACCGATCCAATCCAAACCGAAAAAAAATTGGATCGGATTGGATCGGATTTGAAAAAAAAATCAAACCGAATGGATAATTGTATGATGAAACCGAAGGGATTGGATCAGATGATTTTTGCTTCCAAAACCGATCCAATCCAGACCGCGAACACCCCTACCTTGACCCAAAGATCATCTTTGTTGGTCAACAGCCCGAAACCCAACTTCTTAGAGGAGGCATTGTTGATTCTTTTTTGGTCCCTGAATCCTAGACCCCCATCCTTTTTTGAACGACAAAGTCTATTCCAACTCACCAAATGAGTCTTCCTTTGTGCATGAGATGAACCTCATATGAAATTCCTAGTTATATTTTCAATTTCATTACAAACACCACTAGGAATCACAGCTGACTGCATGGGATAAGCAGGCATAGCTTCTAACACTGATTTAGCAAGGGTGGAACACCTTGCTAAAGACAAAGACAATTGGTTCCAAGAGGAAAGACGACTCTGCACTCTGTCTAAGACATGCCTGAAAGTGCTCTTAGTAACTCTTTTATGATGGAGTGGAACCCCTAGATATTTGCCAACATCCGAAGTGATACCTACATCAAGGGACTCACTGATATTTTTGGCCATCCCAAAATTGATATTTTTGAAAAAATACACTCTAGTTTTATTACCACTCACTTTTTGGCCTAAAACATAAAAAACCTAATTAAGCATCACCATACTGGTTATGTCTTCATCCGATTCTCAATCACCCAAACACATTAGTCCAAAATTATGGGGTACTGTCGTAATGAACACAACAATTTGAAATGTGAACATAATTTATTATTCCAAAAAATTTATGTGAATTCAAATGTCATCACTGGTTGAACAATTCGTCAACTATTATGGTAAAAAAAGAAGAAAAAAATTATATCAATCAATCTATAAAGTTGGACAGTATACTTCCCTTTTAGCATGATCCATGTTTTTCATCTGGTATCTGATCAAGTCAAATACAATATGGGCTGGCCAATATATATCGAGCCTAATCACCCACGGTTGAGATGTGGATTGTTGTTCTTGGTCTTGGGCCAGGAGTTGAGGTTGGATTGTCTTTATATTTTGTAGTAGCGCGTTGGATCCGAATGGGGGGTACCTGCGAAGACACTCCGATGCTTAAGTTAGTATCAGAGGCAGGAGTTTTTATGTTATTATTGTAAAGGATGATCGTACCTTGGTGTTGTACCATTTGTTTATATAGTGGTTATGATGCTGCCTTAGTAAGGCGGCTTGGACTCTGAGTGGCCAGGCTTGGGCTGCAGGTCAGTGCTAGGACCTGAGTAGCCTTATCTCCAGTTGTAGAGTCGCGGCAAGCTGGAGCTGTCTGTCTTTTATTGGAATAAAGGCGCGGTGAGATTGCCTTGAGCCTTAAGTTAGCTTCCTTAAGGAGGTTTTAACCGCGATATGGGCATCGCGTCTTGTCCAGCGCGATGAGTCCATCGCGTCTTATGCGCTATGTTTGTCCATCGCGCTTGCTCTGGATCCTTAATGGGTTTGGGCTTCTCCGTATGTCACTGAGCCTCTCATGGGCCTATATTTTATCCGGATCAGTTGCCCCCTAGGTTGCGGTTTTGCCATGCGGCAAAGCTGTGAGCTATATGTTGTTTAAGCGCGGTAGTTGCATTCCATATGTCCTTTCTGTTTGCTGCGGTAATCATGTTAAAGTGTCATCATGATTGTTAGCCGCTTAAGAACGATTGATTAGACGTTTAACTGTCAGAAGCATTAAATGATGGTGCCGTTACGTGGGTGTTTAAGTGTAAGCGTGAGTGATTTTTGAAGTGAAAACGCTTCCCCTTTTAGCCACGTGTCCTTGTAAAACCGTTTTACTCAACCCGTTTTTGGTGTGTTTTGGACTATCCGTTTGAGAAAACCTTTGTATTTGTACTTTTATGTTTAATACAATAATTTCTTATTATTTTTTAATAAATTAATATATTATTATTTTTCAATAAAATAATACCTTGTTATTTTTTAGTAAAATAATATCTTATGTTTTTTTAATTTTTTTAATTTTCGCAATCTTCCCTCTTATCACTTGGCAAATATATTTTTTCTTAACTCTAAATTCCTTTGTCGTCATCGCTCTTTTTCCTTCCCTCCTTGTCCAAATTTTGCTACTTTTCTACCCCTTCCTCAACTTCTCATCATCCCTTCCAAACCGTCTATCGTTCACCATCGACTCTCAGACTTTCCTATACAGGACGAGTCAACATCACATGCTATTAATTTGCTCATATAAAGGTTCCTTAATCGATCAAGACATGCAAATTATAATTCTAATCCTAATCCTTCTGGTGGTGTGGATGAAGCAAACAAAGTCAACAAAATCTAAATCTCTTAATGTTATGGATATGAATATCATATCCCAACTACCTACTAGGATATCTGGTGAGATATGGAATCAGCAACATCTCAACAACTCCAAACAGCCAAAGGGTATAAGATAAGGATCACATCCCAACAGAAGGAGGTTGAATCCTACTACAATTGGGGAATCTCAAAAGGCACAAGCCTAGGAAGGTAATCCTATAAATAAGAGCCTAAGGACCCCAGGTAAACACTCAGAACACATTTACTACTTTCGCCCACGCTGTGCACACACCCACGCCTTGGCTATAAGCCTATTGCTTGTGCGCAGTGATTGGGACCTCGGCTATAAGCCTAGTATACAGTTGATATACACTATCTCTGAGCGCATACCCTACGGTATAGCAATACGGTCTATCCAGGATCTAACATTACCCTACGGTATAGCAATACGGTCTATCCAGGACCTAACACTTAATAAAGTTTTGATGATGTTATTGAACAATTTATAATGTTTAACTTTTGCCTTTTGTCATCATCACGATTATCATTTTTGTTTAGTGAAATTTTTTAATTCATGAGTGAGTGAATATATATCTTATTTAATATAATTAAGCATTCTACTTCCTTGCTATTTTTTAATTTTGATTTCTAGCAACATAGTTAAATTATTAAGTTTTTGAGTTGTTGTGTGCATAGAAAAGAAATATATTCCATCAAGTTAAATATTTGAAAAAAAATAAAATAATCATAAGGCTAACAAGACAGGCCAAACTTTTATAGGTTTGACAAGGCAAGTTAAAACTCGTATTTTTATGGAGTGCAATTTGCTATTTTTGAAGGTTTGGTATGCTTGACAAGCCATACCAAAACCTTGTATTTTTGAAAAACAAGTCAAACCAAACTTATAATTTGGCTTGTATAAGGCTAACAAGCCAAGTCTGACTTAAAATGATTTATATAAGCCTAGCCCATTTAGGCTAAAGCTTTGCTTGGTTTGGCTCATTTACACCCATGTGCACTACACTCTTTTTCCTTTATCAAGTTTTTATCTCATTGGGTATTTCTTCGAAAGGTTTTTAACAAAGCAGTCTAAGTTAACATATAATAAAAGATTATATATTAATTATGAATATTGCACTCTTCTTTCTTTGCTAAGTTTTTATCCCATTGAATTTTTCTTACAAAGGTTTAATTTAACGAAACATATTATGTAGAGTCATCCAAGAAGGAGTGTTGAAAAATATCTATTTTAATATGTGGATGACCTTTGGCCTTTCATATGCTTCATGATGTATGGACAATGTTTAGATTGCTCATGACTTTTGATATATCATGTAACCACCACACTGATGGTGTATTGAAATATATTTAGTGGCTTCTTCATGTATATCCTACACAAGGACTTCTATGTAAATGTGATGATTAGTAAATTAGAATTTGATAATATTCTTATGGTTTTCCGAAGGTTCATGCTTTGATATTCGTATACTTCCTTTCTTCACTTTTTTTTCTCTATTTTCCTCCTTTGATCTTCATATACTTCCTTTCCTTACTCTTGCAAGGGAAGGTCACGTCAAGTTTGGGAACCTTATGAGTCAATGTTTTCCCTTTTATAAAAGGGATCTATTAATCTCATGTTGCATGAGATAATTATCTCATGCAACAGAGATAAAATTGTGGGGTCCACTATTTTTTCAAAAATAAAAATAAAAATAGTGGACCCCACTATTTTGTCTTTGTTGCATGAAATAATTATCTCATCCAACATGAGATAATTATTTCCCTTTATAAAAATATGGAAATAGCTAGATCCTCTTATACCTAATTTTAATATGATCATGTAATGTGATGAATCCCACATAATAGTTTAAGGGTTTGCTTTTTCTAAAGTCAATGTAGATAAGTTATCTACATTGAGCTCAAAACGACGTCGTTTTGAGGCAGAAATCAAGGTATTTTTATAATTATAATTTATTTCAGGGTTATAGTAGTTTTTTTCATTATAATTTTTTAATTTTTTAACTCAAAACGACGTCGTTTTGGGAGCGAATGTAGATAACTTATCTACATTCACTTTAGAAACATTAAAGTCATAGTTTAAAGGGAAAAAAGTTTCCGATGTTACTTTAGATAATTTTATCTAATGTTCATCGAAACGATGGGTTAGTTTAAAACTTCAACTACTTTGATAATTAAAGTCGAGTCATTTCCATAAATGCTTGAGAAGGTCCTGTATTGTCCTCAAATGTAAGTTTGTATAGGAATTGAATCGGGATTAAGGGTCTGTTTGATTGTGTTTTGGTTTTTTTGTTCTTAAAACTGTTTTGTAGAATAATTATGAAAACAGTTGTTTTCTATGTTTTCTTTATTTTGAAAGTTAAAAATCAAAACAGAAAACAAAAACAACTCAGACATGTTCTCTAAATTTGATTCTAAAAGCAAAAAAAAGTTACAGTTTTTAATTTTTTTTTACAAAACAGGCCTTACCAAAAGAGTTTTTTTTGTTTTTTTTGTTCTAAATATTAAAAAACTGTTTTTGAAAACAATATTCAAACATAGCGCCTAAGTTTGCAGGAAAAAAAATGTTGCTCAACTTTATTTCCCTAAAGAGGAAATTTCAATTAGCTTTCTTCATTTTAATATTCTATATACATTCGTGCTCGCCATATATTAATTTGACTCAGCAGCATTTCTAAAAAGAACCAATAAAAAATAACATAATCCATGTTCAACGCAATACCCCAGTGTTATAATTCACCACTTGGCCACAGAAGTCTGGTCTAGAATTCTTCCTGAAATGGCAGTGGCAAGTGCTGTTGTGAAATTGGGATCTCTTGTCAAAGAAGTAGCCATTTGTTGAACCAAAAACTTCTCGATAGAAGACTTTTGGGCACTCTCAACCAATCCTGATTGGACCAAGTCAAGCCTTATAGTTGGGCCTGTAGTACTCCCAATAATGGGTGTAGCTGATGAGGAAACATTAACTGACCCTACAGGTCCATCTTTTTGGTTTGAGACCATTGATAATTCAGCTCGCTCATGACCATGGTTGTGCTCTCCTTCATAAGTTGCAACAAGTATAGTAGGGTCTTCTAAGCTTCTTTGCACCTAATTAATATTTGGTAATGATAAAAGATATCAAAAAATGATCATGTTTAGTGATGTTTGAATCTAATTAAAGAGTTCTAATTCAAATTATGAATTACCTTTTTTTTCACCGGGCATCTTGGGGCAAAGGAGCATCTGAAATAAGCTCTAGGAGAGGGGTTATCTCTGGTGACCTTCTGACCATATTTCCTCCACTGATATCCATCCATCACATACTACATACCAAAAAAACAGATTCAAGATTGTCAGTTAGTACTTGAAATTAAACTTCACAATTTACTTACAATATGGTCACAAAGTTATCTTGTATATACATATACAAGGACAAATCCCGATGTATAAGACTGTCTGACTTACGAGGATAAGGATGAAGGTCAATTATACGCAATTTTATTATTGTATTTTTTGCAAAAAAGTTATTTTTTAGACTCAAATCTTTCGTATATCATTAAATTTATACACTAAAATTAAATTAAATAAATTGAAAGCTAGACTCCATATTGAGGAACTTACTAAGCTAGTATTAGATGCTTCCGTCTTCACAAGAACCTTGGAAAACTTAGGCGAGGTGATAATATTATCCTTGTGCCTTTTGAATGACGAATCCTCATCATTTATGGTGCTGCTGCACTCAGTGTTAATGTTTCCTCTAACACAAAACATGTTGATACAACTTTCAGTCTCATCAGCTTTTCTCTTCCGTGATTGTGTTGGGTCTTGTTCAAAATTTGTGTTCATCAATTTGCTCAATTGCTTTTGCATAGCCTGATAGCTCTCGCACAAGTGAGTCAACTTCTCAGTCAGTCTCTTATTCTCACAATTTAAACGATGCAACTCTTCAACCAAATTATCAGCCTGGTCAGAAAATTTTCCAATATTGTTAATGTTAGAAATTCAGGGACTTAAAAGAAAGATAAGATTATATACATATATATTTTTTCATAGAAGCCTGGTTTAGGCCATTTATGTATACAAACCATGTGCAAAGAAGGAACAACATTAAGATTGAGTGAAGTATCCACGCATGTTGATTCCATTTGCAGAAACTGCTGAGAGAAATTGAAATGGTTGTCCAAAGTGGCATCATGAGATATATAGGTGTGAGGGGATTGTGATTTTGATTATTTTTTTCATGAGGGAAGGAAAGTTGCAGGAAATGAGAGCGAAAAAGCAACCTCGTTAATTCTCGTCATACAGTTTCGTCATTGGTGTGGTCTAAATAGTTTGTGGGAAAAGTGTGTATAATTTTAAAGGAGGTAAAGTTGTGTCATTTATGTTATCAAAAAAAAAAAGTTATGTCATTTAAAATGAGAGTGAGAGAAAGAGATAGATAAAGGAGGAGAGAGTGAACAAGAAAATATAAAAGTGTGGGTCTCACCTCTTTGTGAGAGTGAAAGGATATAAATTGTGTCATTTAAAAGAATAAACATTTTTTCCGTAATTTATTGTCTATTTTTTTTTTTTTTAAGTTTTAATTCTACCACTACTTTTTCTGGCACAAGATTATTTATTGGCAAAATCACTTTTATGTTGGTGCAACCAATTACAATTATATTTTATTGATAAATATAATTGTAATTTAAAAAATTATTTTTTTATCTCTCTTTAAAAGACTGTTGGTTGATGTGATAGAGAAAAAAAAAAATATTATAATTATGTCTTATAGATAAAATATAATTATAATTAGTGGGTGCAGAGAATAAAATTTTATAATATTGGGACCCTTATTTAATTTATATAAAGCCAACATATGTAATTTTTTTATGTAAAAATTACATCAAGTTATATTCATAAATTAACATAATATAACTTTTAAAAATAATATGTAAACGAATGACGTGTTGATTTTAGCTCATCAAGGGGTGGCTGAAGAAAAATTTCACCTAGTGGTCAAGCACGTCTTGATAAATAAAAGAAAAGATGATGTTGAAGTTTGAGATCATTTTCCATAAAACAATATCTCATTGACTTGTCGCCTTTTTGTTTTTGGTAATCAATTGTCGCCTTTAAATATTCCATTCCCATCTTATGAGTGTGTTTTTTTTTTTTAAAGCAACTTATGAGTGGTTTAATTTTTAATTTTTATATTCACATAAAATATTAGGTGACATTAAATACCGGTATCACACGGATCATGAATCAGGATAGACCCCTCAAAGTCTACGAGTGGTATAACTTTACCTGTCTGGTCATCTTTCTTAATTAAATGAAAAGACGAGAACCTCTCCTCTTTTTCTTTGTTGTGGGCACGTATGTTTGGATAAATAATTATTATAAAAAATAATAATTAAGAGTTATTTTAATATAAAGTAATTTATTCAAATACATAAAGAAAAGACTTTGTCATGACTCCCATTTGTTTGATGGCATTCTCTGTGGCAGTACAAATTAAATAAAATATTTATATTATTGTATAATATGATATAGCAAAGTCGAAACGAAATTACATATAACTCTTTCTTCTACTACAACAAATAAAGTTATTTTTTACAATTTCAAAATAATATCCTTTTAGGGTTGAGAAAAAAAAAATTAAAAATTTTACTTTCTTCTTATAATATCATGATTTTATTAAAATACTGCAATATTTTACTCAAATGCCAAAGTAATGTCAGTTTAGAGTTATACGAGATAAATTTATTTTATATTGCAAGAAAAATATTAACAATATATATATATATATTACTTAAGTATTTATATAATTATTTCTTTGATAAATGTTTTTATACATTATGCTGATTTTATATATACTAATAAAATAAGTAAAAGTATGTCTTATTCATTTAAATAATAATAAGTTAATTAAATATTCTTACTTTTTTAGTTTTAAACTAATTAAAATATCTGATGTCTTATATAATTGTATAAGAATATAATTATGAAACTTTCATGTTTAATTGAAACTTCTTGATTTGTATTGATGGCTATGTACACAATATTAACTTTAAGTAAAATAAGTCTTTTTAATATATGTACATAATAGATTTGTTTTGAGTTAGTTATTATATAAAGTAAAGTTTTTGTTTGAAAACCACCAAACATGTGGATCAATTGATAAGATGTTGTTTCAGCTTAATTAATGATTTTGAATTTAAATTCCTAGAAATGTAATTGTGTTAAATTTTGGTAGATAGAGAAGGATAATATCTATATATAAAAAAAATATTTGAGTCCTATGTTACGAATCTTTTTCTTTTTCATATTATATGTTTCAGCCATAAATTTTAATTACATAATTCCGATTAATTGCAGTTACCTCTTCATGTACAATCAATTTCCTACTTACGTTTAATAATCCTTATCTTTAAAATGTATATTTAATTATTCCTATACCATTTATTTTTAATTTCAGAAATTAAATTTCTAATCATTATTACCTTTTTTATTTTTCTCCATATATGTTTTACTAATTTTCTCAGTGAATATAGAAAAAATATCTAATATTAATATAATAATAAATTTTACTATTATTTTGTAACTGTATGCTATACACAAATTAAGGTGTTAATATAAGTTAGCTAGCAATACCTTCGTGAGCATGCCCCCGCATTAAAAATAAATAAAAATAAACTAATTATTTTTAGCTTTTGATTAGAACTGTATCCTACTTGTATAAAATTATAAATTGTTTTTTTAATTTAAACGTTGATTACTTTTCTAAGAATGTGAATTTCTTATCACTGACGCTACATTTAACTAATAGGTAGTTTTTGTAACTATTAAACATTAATAGATAAGAAAAAACTACCTACTAATTATTAATTTTGTTAGACAGAACTTTTAATTATTTAAGAGATGAATGGCCGAATCTTTGTTTGATTATACACATGGGAAAATTATATAAAAAAAAAATTGATAATGCTGTAATAAAATGCTTCTCTAAGTCAGTTTTTGTTTTAATTGAAATATTTGTGTTAACTGAATAATCATTGCTTTTTTTTTTTTTACACAAATGTGAGAATTGAACACATAACCTAATACAAATTACATAAATCTCTCACCACTGGACCAATCCTAATAGCTTATGGATTCATTTTTTCTGTAGTAAATGCAGACAAGTTATCTGCATTAAGCCCAAAATGACATTGTTTTGGAGCGAAGATTAAAGTATTTTTGTAATTTTAATTTATTTCAGAGTAATAATAGTCTTTATAATTATAATTTTTTAATATTTCAACACCAAAACGATATCATTTTGGGAGTAAATACAGATAATTTATCTGCAGAAATATTTTTCTGATAGCTTATTTTTATTTTTATTTTTTTTAAGATAATCATGTCCTTTTTTCAAGAAATAGCACTACAAACTTATAACTTATAAGGGATAACTCAAGTTAAAAGTAAAATAGATTTTAATAGTTGAGGGATGTCTTCAAGAATTTGAGTCTATAAAAAATATTTATAGAAAGGAGAAATCTCACCATTCTGAACAAAAATCAATCTCAACTTAAAGAATGTAAAAAATCCTATAATTTAGAAAAAAATTAAGCCATGCATCACTACTCCCCGCACATTCAGGCTTCACCGTAAACTTGTGCTCCCGGAGCCCCCAACAATATAAATCAGCACAATTAATTGCTAAAATAATCAAAACTACATAGTTGATTATTTTATATTTAAAATAATATATATGGAACAATCCCTAAATTTTGCGTCAACTTCATGATATAGTTCCCCGCACAATAATACTATAGTGTCTCTACATAGAAAGGCTTGGCCCAGAATAAACACGTAATGAAAATTATTTGGAGATGTATAGAAACAACACAAGTCGTTACAAATGATTAAAATTAAGACTTTTTGCTTCACCATACAAGAATTTTATATTTATAGTTTTTTTATTTATGGAAAAAGTGTTTGTCATTTTAAATGACAGAAAGTTATGTCATTTTAGGAGAGATACAGATACAGAAAATTTGAATTTTAAATTAAAAAAAACCACTCACTTTCTCTCTCCCATGATTTTCGTTTTTCTGTGTCTATCTCTCTCCTAAAATGACATAACTTATGTCATTTAAAATTATAAACATCAAACCCATTATTTATAGTATACAAATTTTTATATTATCAGTTATCACTTCATTAAAAAAAATTGATCTATTGTATTATTTTTTATTAACTATTCTAAAAATATGACTATATAAAGATAAGAAAGCGTTTGGTACGCGGCTTGTATGAGAAACCTCGGGAAAGCTGAGAAAGAGAAAAAATTAAGCAACATTTGGTATATGAAATTTGCAAAATTTCTCAGGCCACATGTCTTCCTGGAAAACTGCTTTCATGTGTTAACTCAAGTACGGATAAAGAAATCAGATATCTCAAAATTTTGTAGATTTGTTCGCAATCCGGGGAAGACAAAAGTAAAGCATGAAAAATTTGACAAGAATGACCCCGTGTTTGTAGGTGGTCTGTAGATATGGTCTAAGCACAAGGTAAAAGATGAGGTTATTTTGGTAAAATAATTTCACATTCCCACTAATATTTCATAACCAACCAAACACGAATTCAGTAAAATTCTTCATTTTTTTGAAAAAATATGGGTCTACCAAACAACTTTTTATTAATATTCCAGTAAAATATATTTTCTACTACATTTCAATAATAGTTATTTCCTGGATAAAAAAAATTCTCTTGTATCAAACGTCCCCCGAAGGTTACCTTGGAAGTGTCACTTTAAAAAATTGAAAATTATTATTATTTTAAAAAAGGACAACTAACGCGCTGTCAAATGGGGTTAAAAAAGTGCAACTCGCGAATTGATGCAAAATTGCCTTCAATAGTTTAAAGAAACTTACACTCAAACTGAACTTGACTTGAGCTTGGATCAGAACTTCTAATATGAACAATTGGGTCAATTTGGATGCTTAAAAATTCAGACTTACTTTGCTATCCCTATTTAAAGTCACTAATCAATTATTGTCAAAAAAATAAAACTAAAAATAATCAATTATTGCCAAAAAAAAAATAAAACTAAAAATAAAACAGTCGCGAATCAATTATGGCGTTCGCCTTAAGTTTTTGAACCATTATTATATTCGTAGGTTTCATAAGTTTGTGAGTCATTATTGAGTTGTAAAAATAACTGATGTCAGTATAGACTGTTGGGCAAGTGGCTTCTTACACAGGACGCTTACGGAACACCTAGAGGGGGGGTGAATAGGTGTTCTCAACTTTTTCAA